CTATGGAATCTCCCACCTTCTATTGCACCTGACATTCATTCATTCCTCGCGAATGCATCGCACACCAAACAGTAACAACTACTCACTTGACAAAGCTCTGGAAGCATTTGGAAATGAATTAAGACACGGCCACTGCTTTTAAAAGGTTTACAGATTTCTGGGATAAACACATTAAAAATTAACTTTTACACTCGACAGACTCTAAGTACCACAGAAAAGGAGTGAACAAAATTCTGTGCCAGGGGTTGAAAACAAATCAAATCAGGCTGCATTTGGCCAGCAAATGTTTTGTTTGGCCCACATGGTGTTTTACTTTATTGCTTCCAATTGGGTGCTAATATTTAAAAATTAGGACATTTCACATTAAAAACCCAGATTCCTAGCTTCTGGTAGAATCAAGAAGATCCCCACACACAAGGCCAAATTCCTGCTCAGTGGGGCCTGGCAAGAGAGAGCAGCAGCTGCCCTTCAGGCAGGGCAGGAGCACTTCCATTAGTGGAGCTCTGTCTCTGCCACTCCTACTGCTCTCTGAAGCCACTTCACCAGCTTGTGCTCTGGGCAGGGCTGGGATGGGGTAAAAGGCAAAAGAGCTTCCACTAAAAAGAACTGCTCAGTCTCCACTGGCAGAGAAGGGGGCTGGGAGGTGGCTAAGGCCCTGGGGCTAGCACTGAAAATAAGTTTTTTAATTTAAAATGAGAAACGTAGGGACTGCAAGATAGCTTAGAAGACTAAGCACCTGCTTCGGCGAGCACAGAGACTGGAGTTCAATCCGCAGCACCACTTGCTGCACTGGCCCTGCCCCCAGGCTCACTGAGCTGACCATCTAGACGCCGTATGGTGGCACATGCCTGTAATCCCAGCGCTAGGGAGGCTGAAAACAGGAGGATCACTGAAGTCTGAGCTGTGTAGTGAGACCCTGTACCAAATACATTTTTTTAAAAAGTCAGTAGAAATTAAAGACACACTTGTAAGGCTAACATTTCAAGTAGGGCACAGAAGAATATTCCTGGAGAAAAAAGAATTTCTTGTGGAAGTAAATTCCCTACCAAAAGAACCAAAAGTCTTGGCACTGAGCTACCACTCAGTCCTTTTTTTATTTTTGAGAGTCTCCCTGACCTGCCCCGCTTCTACAGCAGTTTGTCACCTGTGTGACATGGGGAGACGGGAAGATTTAAAATAGTGATGGCACTGGCTTTTTTTTTTTTTTTTTTTTTTGTGGAACTGGGGATTGAAATCAGGCCCTTGCACTTGCCAGGGAAGTGCTTATTCTACTGAGCCATCTCCCTGGCCCCAAAAGTTCAGAAGAGTTTTTTTTTTTTTTTGAAGGTTCAGGATGCCTTCAGGACATTTCTAATTTGGCTTGAGGATCTGGAAATTGAACCACAGCAACCTGAGCCTGAATGCTCTGTTTAAACAGTCACTTAAACAACTGAGCTAATGGGTAGGCCCCCCAGCACTGGCTCTTGAATGAGGAAGACTTCAGCCTGAAAGCTGGCTTCATCACTCACTGTGTGACCTTGACACACTATGCACCCCTCTGTGCCTCAGCTCCCTCTTCTGTAAAATAGAGGTAACTGCAGCACCTGCCTTAAAAAGCTGCTGGGAGAGACAGCGACTAGTGTATGGAGTTCCTAGCCAGGGCTGGGCACACAGCACTAGCTACTCCCTGAGCAGAGCACAAGGGCCAGCAACTACGTCCAGATGGAGCCTCAAAAGGTACTCAGGGTCTCAATGTGAGATCAGGGAAGAAGACAAGCTTTGCACAAAGCATCAGAAAAGACAACAGGAATGGCAAATATTCTGCCCTGTGGCCAAAGCAAAATTCACAATGAAGTTGGAAAGATCACCTAGGCAGGCATACATGACAATCCAGTAAGTCAGCAGTTCCCTGAATGCAGTGCTACACGACAGACTTGGGTGATAAAAATGGACCAGGACGTTAAACTACAATGAATCATAAGGTGAGAAAGTCGTTTTCTTTCAATTCTTTACAAAACTTTTTAATTAGTAGAAAATCTTGGCTTGATGTCTACCTTAAGCATCTCTCTGTCCATCTTTGGGAATCTCTGGCTTGGGAGATGTAAAGACTTCCTAGCAACAGTATCTAGCTATCAACTTAGTGCGAACCTTTTCTTTTTCCTTGTTTGAAGTTTTTGGAGTTACCATACACTTAAAGTAATTGATATTGTTATTTTACATTTGGAACTGTTACGCTGCTGTGCAAAATATGAAATCATATTTATTCAAACGAAAATAAGGCAACAAAGGGAACGCCGAATAAACAATAGTATGGGTAACACATGGATGGGGCGAGTAAACACCATGAAGCGGGAACATAATGAAGTAGAAAAAGGCACCAGGCATGGATTCCCAGGAAAGTGCAAGCCAAGCTGGATAGTGATTACTCGTGACCCCACCTCCACACACTCTCCAGGTCCCCTTGCCCTGCTCCTGGCCTCAGTTTCCCCACCTCCTCCCAGTTCGGGATGCTGAGCCGTTAAGAGGCCGCAGGCCCGTTGCCATTGGCAACCGCGAGGCCTCCCGCCACCCTGCTGGGCTCGGCTTTTCACTCTTCTCCTTCCCGGCCGCCCAGTTCCTCACCACTGCTCCACTTTATCTCTCCACGTCAGCACAGCCCTCATCGCGGCTTCGGCCTCCTCCTTCCCGCCTCTACGACAGACGCCACAGTCAGAGCCACTTTGGCTACCTTCGCTACCCCTGGCAACGCACATGCGCAGGGAGGCGCGCGCGAGAACGCACCGGCTCTGAGTGCGCAAGTCTAAACGGGAGGGCGCGTTAAAAAGCTAAGGAGCAAACGCTCGGCAAGAACGGGAGCCCAGAAGGCCAAAGCGCAATTCCGACGTGCTTGATTGGTCAGGCAGGACGGGGGCGGGGGCTCTTTCCGACGAAAGATTTAATTGGCGGCGCCTGGGAGATGGCGGCAGTGGCTGCGGGGTTGGTTGTGAGGGACCTTCTCTGTCTGCAGGCGTTGTTTTCAGTGAAGCGCTCAGGACTAAGGTTTTTCCCATCCTCCTGCCCTCCTTGCCCAGGGCGCTGACCCTCTCCTCCCGCTGCTGCAGCCACACCCCGCCGGAGGCCACCTCTTGCATGGCGAGTTCAAGCCCCTGGGACGGCGGAGCAGTCCCTTCCCAGCGCGGAGCCTCAGAGCCGCTGCGTGACCGCTGGCAAGTTACTGGTCCTCGATCCTCAGGGTCCCCACCTGTAAAGAGGGGCTGGGCAGGTGGCGGGGCGGGCGGGAGCTTGGTTTTACGGAGCCGGAGAGGAGCTCCATGGGTTGGGCACCGTGGGGGTCTGCAGCCCCGGGCGCTCCGGAAACGGATCGTGCCTGGTACTCGTGTGCATCAAATGAGGAGTAATGTACCTATCTTTTCAAAATGTAGCCCTCAAGAGAAAAGCACCTTGAAAGAAGTATTAAGTGCTTTTTACAGATTCAGAAACGAGACTTTGAGAGCTTTAGTAACTGCTCTTGGACGCACAGCTTGTAAAGAGCAGAGCCAGGATCCGAGCCGGGTCAGTTATTATAAAAGTGTGCGTTGATTTCAGCAAGTTCAGTTCTTATGTCTGGGTAAAAAGTATAATTCATTAAATGCACAACAGCTCTCCCAATTTTTTTTTTTTTTTTTTGTACCGGGTATTGAACCCAGCACCCCGAGTTTGCCAGCCAGACACTTACACCGCTGAGCTCTCTCCCCAGTCCTTCCAAATTGTTTCATCTCAAATCCCAGGAGGAAACTGATTCTTAATCTTATCAGCCACTGTTTTTTGCTTATTTGGATTTATTACTGGTAGAAATTGGGTTGGATGATTAAGATACACTCACTAAAGATTTTGAATAAAAGCCCAGGCAAAATGTGAGACCAAGATTTGGTAGAGCTGTGTTCTGGTATCAGTTCTGCAACTAATGTAACCTTTTGGTTACTCAGTCTTCTTAATAAAATAAGAATAAATCTTATCCTACCTACCTTGCAAGGTTATGAGACTCAAGAGTGAAGGAGTTTTGAAAATTCTTGGCAGAAATTACTTTTTGATTTACAGGATTTGAGGAAGGTGATAGACACGCCCCAAAAATGTGTAATTTTCACCTCACCTATTTGCAGAAGGGGATTGACTAACTTGACTCCTTAAGAAGTTGTTTTGATCTCAAGTCAAGAGCTGAATTAGTAGTTCATAGCCTGAAATGTAGCCCAAGTGGCACCAGAAATCTTTATTATAGCCCTATTAGATGATTAATTATAAAGGTTGCTAGCAAGTAGCTTGAACTTTTTGTTGTGTAGATTTCCAACACTTTTTAACACTTAATAGAGGACAAGCAGCTGTTAAGAACAAAAAGATTCTCTTTTCTCTTTTTTTACTATCAGGAATTGAACCAGGGGTCTCATGCTTGCAAGGCAGGTGTGGTGCTAATGAACTACATCCTCAGTCCCCAGATATAAGGATTTATTGGTCTCTTAGGAGACAATGGCAAGGGGATTTAGAAAATAAAGACAAGACACAAATGCTGAGGTCATTTGGAGGCCTCTTTACTTGATGACAAGAAGACTAAACAACAGTAGGGGCATTTATTTGCGAAGTTAGTATCAATCAGGAAACAAAAGGTTACCTTGCTAATAATGACTGAAATTGTCGGGCATGATGCGCCTCTCAAAACTGAGGTAGCTTGATTGTCCTGGGCACTCTTAATCTGTCCTGCCCTCACACATATGACCAATTTCCAGCTTTAACCTCTCTCAATACCCAGAAAGATTCTCTGATTGCATAAGAGACTGGTTCATACTGGCTGCGGTCTCCATGATTTTGATCTGAGTGTTCCATGTGGTTGCTGCACTGTCAAGTATCAAAATTGAATAAGCAAAAGAAAATAAATTTTCAATGAGTGAATCACTTGTGCTTTGTTTTCCCAGTGAGGAAGACGTTGCTACCGATGAGGGAAAAGATGAACAACAAATGGTGGCCCATGGAGGCAGAGAGTGTGATGCTTCCACTCAGTGTGCTGTTGCTGCCATGACAGAATGTCACAAGCCCGCCCTCTGTGGATGGAAAAGGATTGTGAAGCAAAGACTATCTGGGAAAACAGCAGGGAGATTTGATGTGTATTTCATCAGGTAAGTATGCAAGGTGGAAAATATAGCACAACCAGATAATTCTGTCTAGAGATACAGGGGGAACACATAGCAAGAATCTGGGCTTATTTCTGTTTTTACCATAGAACTGCTGCAGGGTCTTCTGTTCCTTCAGTGTCACTGATTAGTCATGTCAAGTGATTTGGGAGCAACTGCATATATTTTGTCCCTCCTACTGTGACTGGTTAGTGATGCAATTGCACTTAAGTTATATTTATAAATTTATTTTATACTGTCATAGAGAAAACCATTTAAAAAACCCCTGTTTTGTTTTCAAATAACAAATGCCCGTGGCAACATTTGGAAATTAATTAATTAGAAATCTGAAACTGATCCAATTCTTTTTAAAAAATCACTTGTACTTACTAGCAATGATATTGTTTCCTTTAATATCATTTTCTAGCCCACAGGGACTGAAGTTCAGATCGAAAAGTTCACTTGCTAATTATCTTCACAAAAATGGAGACACAGCTCTGGAGCCTGAAGATTTTGATTTTACAGTTCTCTCGAAAAGGAGCATCGAGTCGAGACGTAAGGACTCCAGCGTGGCAGCTCTGACAGCCCAGCAGCAGAACAGAAGTAACGTTTCAAACTGGAACCTTCGGACTCGAAGCAGGCAGAAAATGGATGTTTCTCCTCTGCCAGGTAGTACCTCAGAGTTGCCAGACAGCAGAGGACCACCTAACCTGGATTCCATCCATGTGCTTTTGAGAGAAGAAGAGAGTGTTAGTGACATTAACTCTGGGAAGGTAAGGAAGTTCAAAGGAAAAGTGACTGTTTTTAAAGGAATTCAAATGAAGAAAACCAGAAAACAGTGCAGCAACAGCCTTTCAGATTCTGTCCAAAGTCATACAAAAAGAGAATCTCTGTTTAATGAAGCAGAGGCTAAATGTGCGTCTGTTGCTCAAGATCAGCTTAGTAGAACTTTGTGCATTTCTGACAGTATAACTGAGGAAGAAAAGAGCCTCGTGAAAGAGAAGTCATTGAGCTCACGATCAGATTTTCATTTTGAACAAATAACATCTGGTATCGCAAACAAATCATGTCCAACCACAGAAGGGGAACACGAGAAGTACAAGGAGACCTTTTTAGAATCAGAGGAAATCAGAAGAAAAGTAGACGATGAGGAGAGAAAGGAACATTTGCATGCTGACATTGTACAGTGTGGCTCTGAAATGGACAACAGCTGCTTACAAAGCAAGAAACACTTTACTTCTGAGAAAATACATCCAGGTATTAGATGTATTGAAGTGCTAGCAAATGTGGTAAAGAGCTTCATTCCCCGACATTGTATTTCATACCTGTACGTGGAGAAATATGAGAACTTGGTGAAGAAATAGGGCCATGATTCAGATGTAGTCTCCCAGTTGGCTCTGATACCTAGCTGACCTGTGTGCTGTCTTGCTGGTCATCAGCCCTCTTCCTCAGGTGGAGAGGGAATCCACTTGCCATGGCTGAAAAGAGCCTTGTGCCACTGACAACTCCTGTTGTCTCAGAGACAGCCAATCTCATCAGCAGCACCATCTTTGTTTTTCAACCTCTTTCCAGCAGTAATTTAAGACTACAGGGAAGTCTGGTTGTACAGCACTCTGGGGAAACTGAGATAGGAGGGTTACAGCTTTAAGTTCAACCTAGGTAATTTAGTGACTTGGTGAGACCTTGTCTCAGCACAAAAAAAAAAAAAAAATTAAAAATGGCTGGGGATTTAGCTCAGTGTAGAGACCCTAGGTTCAATGCCTAGTACTGTTCAAAAAAAAAAAAAAAAAAAAAAAAAGCCAGGCATGTATGGTGGTTACACACCTATAATCTCAGCACTCTGGAGGTTGAGACAGGATTGCCATGAGCTCAAAGCCAGCCTGGGCTGCAGTTAGCCTGAACTGCATAGCAAGACCTGCCTCAAAAAACAGAAAGAAAAAAAAAGGGGGGTCAGCCAAATAGCTCAGAGGATTAAAGCGCCTACACGCAGGCACAGGGGCCAGGGGTTTGATTCCCCAGGCGTGTTGTGCTGGCCCCATCCCAGGGACATGCTGAGACTGCAATTGAGACTGGGCATGGTGGCACGCACCTGTAATCCCAGCTCTTGGGAGGCTGTAAACAGGCAGATCACTTTTGATCTGGTAGTGAGACCCTAAACTCCCTGTAGACCCTTCCCTAAAAAAAAAAAAAAAAAAAAAAAAAAAAGAATAAAAATTAAAATGCTCATGGAAAGCTTGAAAAATTTTCCTTTTCTGTATAAACTGAGAATAGCCATACCACTCTATTACAGTGCATGTGATTTCCCAACTTACATAGAACAGCTGTTTTTATCTTCTATTATAATGTAATGCTTCTCTAAAAGGCCTAAAAGCTCTAAATAATTCAAAAGTGTAATTGTGTATTTCATCAATTATTTGTAGTATGCCCTTATTACAGAGTTTAGCACAAAGCAGTTTTGCTTTTCTAATACCTCAGTGAATAACAGGAGATCTTTGAGCACCCTGTATTATTCATTATGCCACTGTGATATAATGAATAAGTCTTAAAAGGATGGCAGTTTTACTTAAAATCCTTGTGGGGAAATGGTGTGCACAGCTTGAAGGAGCTTTGGGCTAGACTGGCTCCTGCTCAGTCACACCCATGATTTGAGGTCTTCTCTGCCTGGTCTGTCTCTGCCTTTAACGGAAGGCGGCCATATTTGCTGAGGTGCTGTGGAAGAGTTCAAGTCTGTCCTTGAGCTTACAGAAAGCATTGAGGTTTATATAGATTTATTACTGGTATAATGGGCAGATTAAATATTAAAACATCCTTTTGTAACTAAGATGGAAATACTGTATTCATCCTATACTTAAAGAAGTCTAGTTCTCAAAATGAAGTACCCTGGAGGCCGGGTGTGGTGGTACTTGCCTACAATCCCAGGCTGAGTTAGGAGGATCATTGTGAGTTCAAGGCCAGCCTGGGGTACATAGGCCCTGCCTCAAACCACCCCCAAAAAGATGACGTACCCTGCGAAGATGATTCATGTCACCTGTAAGGTCAGCTTCTGAAGAGACAGAGGCAGGAGGATCTCAAGTTTGAGGCCAAATTTCAGTCCAGGCCTTAAACTCCATTTTATCCTTGGTCTAGGTACATAGCTTAGTGGTAGAGTATTTACCTAGCATGTGCAAAGCGTTGAGTTTGATTCCCAGCATTGAAAAAAGTATCCTTAGGTTATGATAAATAATCATCTTTCCTATTGGCTTAGCTAGTAATTACCAGGAAACTAGTAATAAAGTTAGTTAAAAATTATTTATGGGGGGCCAGGGAGATAGCTCAGTAGAATAAGTGCTTGCTTGACAAGCGCAAGGGCCTGAGTTCAATCCCCAGTTCCACCAAAAACAAACAAAAATTATTTATGGGACCCCACAGAAAAGTTTATGAAATGACTAATAAAGCAGCTTCATTTGTTCTCTGTCTTTGCCTTTTTCTGGGCTTTACCTAGTCAAACTGGAGCAACAAAAAACACTGGCCAACTTCTCTGGATATCTGGTTGCCTGTCCCAAGGTATAGTCAATCCCAGTGGCTAACTCAGGCTTTTCATCTGTAGAATATAGGTGGTAATCTTCACTAGACCCCTTTCTCATGTTAAGAATATTGTGAGCTAAAAGAAGAAGTGAAAGAGATGACTTCTTATGATGGAGTGGAAGGAGTTATTAACTGACATTCAAATTCAGAGGGGTTGGCTAACAGGAGCAAGTAACTGCCAACACCAGAAACCTGACACATGAGCAGTACTGCTTCCCAATAAGCAGAGTATACCAGCAGACAGTGGTGTTCCGGGTCCAAATCTTACGCTTTCCTGAAGGTTCTGTTATATTTGTATCCCTTTTTGGTAAAGTAAATATTCACTGCAGAAATTTTGGGATGTATAAAAAAAAGCTGGGTATGGTGGCACATACCTGGAATCCCCATTTCCCACAGACTCTTGAGTGGAATCCCACCACTCAGGAGGCTGAGGCAAGAGGACTGCTGCGAGTTCAAAGCCAGCCTTGGCTACAGAGTGAGTTCAAAGCCAGCCTGAACTATGAATCAAGACCCTGTTTCAAAAAGAAAAAAAAAAAAAAAGATGAAAAACTACCACTCACCAATAATCATACCATTTTGGTTTGTTTCATTCTTAGACATGTATCTCTGTATGTGTATGCACATATATATGTGTGTATACATTTTTATAAAATCAAAATTATGTATAGAATCTTACTTTGTTTCTATCAGATTTAATGCCATGGGCAAGTATTCATGGTACAGTCTCAAAAAATATTTTAATGACCATGTTATACAAGTATACCATAATTTAATATATTGCATACTTTTCCAACTAGCACAGAAAATGAATAGAATATTAATTTTATGGCTCAGGGCAGGAACTCTTGGGCCAGTATGACCTTGGGCACTTTACTCATCTTCTCTGCCTCAGTCTCTTCTGTAAATTGGAGATAAAATAATATGGCACTCATAGGTCATTATTAGGATGGGTCTATCTGCATAGGTGCCTAGAATAATGTCCTGCATGTGTTATAATAGTAGTAGTATTATTGTGGTGATGCTTATCATCACATCCCTTAGTATCTACACCAGATATGCCACCATCTTCACTCTTCCCTTTCAGAGGACAACAGCCCACAGACACACACACAAAAGCGCAAGACGAGCCAGTACTTCTCCAGCAAGTACATCAGAGGAGGTAACCTTTCTGGGCAGAAGGTGAGGCTGTAAGTCTGTTGTGAGTGTCTGTGCAGTTCTGAGGCAATGTGTTTATTTAGCTCTTAGCCCTCCTCGACGCAAAGCCTTTAAGAAGTGGACCCCACCTCGGTCGCCTTTTAATCTCGTCCAAGAGACACTGTTCCATGACCCCTGGAAGCTCCTCATTGCAACAATATTTCTCAATCGGACCTCAGGTCTGTGGGTGACCCTCATCTGTGTGTGTGTGATGATGAGAAAGAACCCTGTGTTTTCACTGAGGGAGTTCAAGGTCATTTTGAGTCTGTGTGGCCTCGGCAAAGGCCTTCTTTCCCTCAGACTCTAAGGGAAACATACTCCTGTGAGTATGTTTGGCCAGATGACCTGCAGCAACCCTTTCAGCAGTAAGGGGCGCCTCAACAGTTATTTTCCCCTTCACTTTAGCATTGGTCTTCATTGAAAGTCAGTTAATTAATGCTTCTCTGCACTCTGTTGTAACAGAGCATTTCCTTTTTCATCGTGTACCCTTTGTGTTCTGCGTGCTGCTTCCACACTGGTCACCTAGTGGTCTGATTATTTGAAACTGGTGTCATGCATGGCCAGTGTCTGTAATTTGAGCTGTTAGCCAAGTGCATGCTCTGTATGGGTGTCTAACTCTGGAAGTGGCTGCTGGTTCAAATAATGGCTCTCCTTAGTGGTTAAACAGGACACCTCCACAAGAGCAGTTTAAATGAGAAGCCCCGGCCTGAGTGCAGCTTTCTGCCAGTCTGTCATCCTGTGGCATTTGCACTTCCAGGTAAGATGGCTATCCCTGTGCTCTGGGAGTTCTTGGAGAAGTACCCCTCGGCCGAGGCGGCAAGAGCTGCCAACTGGAGAGATGTGTCTGAACTGCTGAAACCACTTGGCCTCTATGACCTCCGAGCCAAAACCATTGTCAAGTTTTCAGGTATGCTTCTGATACCTAGGGAGAAACCAACTGTCCTTATTTCAGAGCCACACCCTTGACTCAGGTCCTCGGATACTGTGTTAACAGGTGACATAGCTCACACACCCCAGGGACATAACAGTAGCCAACTTGTCTGGCGATAGTTTCTCACTGACCCAGGCAGCCAGTCTTAGCCAGCCAGGGATCAGAATTGAGAAAAAAAGTTGCGAAGTGGAAAACCCAGCCTTCCATGGATGTTACCTCTCAGAAGTACATATAAAACCTTGTAGGAAGTGGTTAGGGGGCAGGTGCTTGGAACCCAGAGCAAAGTACAACCACGGCCAAAGCTGCGTTGCAGCATCTTCGTCACTCCTATTGCTGAGATATAGCACCCACAACTTGAGGCCATGGTCACCTGGCCCCCAGGAGAACACAGGGCACAGAACTGCACAGGGCACTGGGCAGGGGAGGCAGAGAGACTAAGGGTGGAACTGAGAGAGGTGAGCCCTGCGATGCCACACCCCTCATGGGGCCACCACCTCCCACCAGACTCCGCCTCCCAACAGTGCTTTATCTCTAAACTCCTTGGTGGGTGGACCTGTGATCCAGTCACCTGCCAAAACCCTGCCTAGGACCATGTGAGGCTTTGTGGGGGCATATAGATATGAACCATGGCAAGGGGTATTCTGTCCTTTTCTTTCCGCCCTGCCCCCATACCATGTGGTGGGAGGCTTCCTCTGCCAACCTCCCTGTGGGACATGTATTCTCCAGATGAGTACCTGACAAAGCAGTGGAAGTATCCAATTGAGCTTCATGGAATTGGCAAATACGGCAACGACTCTTACCGCATTTTTTGCGTCAATGAGTGGAAGCAGGTAAAGCCCACCTGCTTTAGCAGGTAAAAAAAAAAATCTGTGACATTTCCAGCACATTTGTCTGGGAGGCAAAAGAAGTCACCATGTGACTAAACTATAGTTCTACTCCCTGTTGTGGGGTGGGGGGGTACTGGTACACCACTCCTCAGCTGTGACTATTGAAGTGTCTTATCCTGGGGCTGGCCCTCCTCCTCCAGAGCACCCACTGACCTGAGCACCCCTCAGCCTCTTGGCACCTGGACCTCTCTCTGCAAAACTGTGTGTCAACCCCAATTCCCTGCACACCAGGGTCTGGTCAGCAATGATTTTCAAAGAGCTCTGTAAACTGAGCAATTACCTCACTGTAAGATATATTTTAAACATCCCAGAATCCTGCAGGGTTAATGGTCATATATTTCAGGTAATGTGATCCTAATAGCCTTCCCTACCAAACCTTTGCAAACAATTTTTTTGAATGTGTATTTTTAGCTGGCTAAGTCCTCTGACTACCATATTTCTTCCAGGTGCACCCTGAAGATCACAAGCTCAACAAGTACCATGACTGGCTTTGGGAAAACCATGAAAAGCTGAGTCTGTCCTGAAGGCTTTGCCGCTCCAGACTCTTGTTCTGTGCTTTGCCTTGTACCTTGGTCTCTGAGCTCCATGGAGCAGACCGGCCACCTTCCCCCGAGTCAGGTGTGAGTCTAGTGGCTAGTGTGTGCTTCCTCAGCTCGCGTGCCCATGGTGCTCTGCTACTAAAGTCATTAGAAGATTCTTTGAGGCTTAAATAATAGTTCTGAAAATGTACGTGACTTTTCTGATACTAAAATTGACATAAAGGTAAAAGACTTTTCTAAACTACCAGTAATGTGAAACACATTTCTATCAGGCCTGCTAAAGATTAGGCTTCCAGTTCTTCCTATAAAAATAGTATTATTGTATACAATTTTTACATGAAAAATCACAGAATTTGCCATTTTTACAGGTATTACAATATTGTAATTCAAATATTGAGAGACTTCCCTCAGAATCACAAAATCCTAAATTACTCTTAATTACTGATCTCTATTTTAATGTATAATGTGAAAATAAAATTGCATCTCCTTCTCCCTAACACAGACACTCCTGTCATAAGGATCCAACCCATTTTTAATTTAAAAAATATATTCTTAATCCATACTGCAATGCACACCTGTGATTCCAGCACTCAGGAGACTGAGGCAGGAGGATTGCCATGAATTGTAGGCCAGCCTGGACTGCATAATGAGACCCTGTCTCAAAAAAAAAAAAAAAAATCTAAAAAAAAAAAGTATGTTCTAGCACACTTAGTAACCAAGAACTGTCCACAACATGCTGGGCTTCTTAGTGGACCACTGAAAATCTGCTGGTTTGCTTGTGGAGCTCATTAGAATGAGGCACAGAGTAATCAAAGGTTTTAAAGAGTGGTTTGAATAGGAAATCAATAAAAAAACTTTTTTAAAAGCCTACTTCCAAAATAGTAGGATTACTTTGGCATCCTGTGTCCTTGGCAGCTACCCACATCTCTTAGGAATTGTGGGTTTCAGCCAGCACCCAGCTGAACATGTGGGTGTCTACTTCAGCTTCTCCCTGGGTCTCATGGTTGTAGGCCATTTATATTACAGGTTTTATGATACTGTAGTTCAAGCACTGAAACACTTGCTTTAGAACTCATCAAACAGAAAAATCCTAAATTATTATGTCAAGCAGAAAAATCCTAAATTATTTTGTCTTAATCACCAATCATCAGTTTGGTGATTTATTTGAAAATTAAGCCAACATAAAAAGTTTGGGGAAGCATCTTGTCACTTATCTCATATACCTAAGGTTTTTTAACTGTTGCTTGAAGGTCACAGTACAGAAACTCGTTATTTGTGGAGACCACCTTAATTAAATTTTGGAACCGGGGAGATGGCTCAATGGAATAAGCGCTTGCCTGGCAAGCACAGGGGCCTGAATTCAATCCCCGGTTCCGCAAAAAAAAGACAGACAGACAGACAGAAAAGAAAAGAAAAGAAAAGAAAGAAAATTAAACTATATACTGGGTATGGTGGTGCATACCTGTAGTCCCAGTGCTCTGGGAGCTGAAGCAGGAGGATCACTTATGGTTTGGGACTGGTCTGGGGTACATAGCTCAGGCCAGCCTGAACAACCTGAGTAAAGGAAAAATCAGTTTGCAGGAGGCCAGCGAGGGCACGGCAGTGGTCTCTTGGTGAGCAAGCGTTAGCTTGGAGAGCAAGAGGAAGCTGGCCACAACTGCCCTCTCCTCCCCAAGACAAACACACTTCACTCCCATTGCTTTATTCAGCAAGCACCCAAGTAGCATTTATAAAAGGCAGAGCCTTATGGAGACCTGCTAGAAGGACTCCTAGGTAATGATGGACAAGAGCGGGGGGGGGGGGGTGTTATTACACAGCTGCAGAGCACCCAAGGCAGGGAAAGGTAATGTTGCGTCTCTGTTGGAGCAGCTGACCCATTGGGCGTGGATTGGGTGGCCTCTGCCGGAGAGCTGTGTAAACACCTGCTCCCGGTTCTAGGACTGAGAGCGCAGTGCCCTGCGTGTACTGTGGGCACTGGGGTGACGCCAAGGCATGTGTGGAGCCTACCAGGCGACTGTAACACCTCACATTCACGAATGCGGTGGGTTGTCAGCGCTGCCAGCGGCAGCACGGCCAATGAGGTGCCTAGCACCGCCCTGGATTTTTCTTTCAATCCCCAGGATCGCACAGTGCAAGGCAGAGTAGGAGTTTGGTGTCGGAGGGGCGGGTTCAGCGTGCTGTGCTATTCTTGCCATTCCACCTCTTCCTCACCGGAGACCCCACGCCTATTTGCACTGAGCTCCACCATGGGGCTGATTGGTCTCCCAGAGCACCTCCAAGGTTACTCCAAGTTGTCTAGAAGTCCTAAGGATTAGAACTGGATTCCTTTCTGTGGTCCAGCATGGACCTTTCAAGCTTCACACTGCTACACTTCCCACCCGAGACGCCCTCGCGGGCAGGGTCTGTGCTTTGCACGAGAAAACTACAGCCTACAGGGTAGAGATCTGCGGAATCCCACAGTCCAAACAAAACCACTACCCCCAAACTCGGAGATATCTCCAAACTTGGAGTGAGCAAAATGGTCTTACCGACGTCCCTCCTCCTGGTGCGTGGCAGTTCTCGGCCAATCAGCGTGTGGCGTCTGTAGCCACGGCAACCAGCTGAGTCCGCACTGCACAGGCCCCTAGTCGTGCATAGGCCCCTAGTCGGGCATAGGCACCTGCGCCTACCCAGGCCATGGACGAATCCTATGAAGTCCACGACCTCCTGGGCTCGGCCCTGCTTGGTGGGTCCCAGGCCAACCTGGCTACCAGACTCCCAGGACAGGCGAGAGGGGACCCCGGGAGTAGCAAGGTCTCTTTATGCCGTTTCCTCTGGGCGAAGGGTTGCCAGGCAGTTGAAGAGGGTCTCATTATGCTATTTCCTCCTGGCGAAGGGTTGCCAGGAAGTCAGGGAGGTCATGTTCTCTTCTGAGATGCCCACCTCTGGCCTATTGCCTTGCAGTTTCTTCTGGGTATTGGAGAAGGGTTCAGGGGGATGTGCCAGTTTGTGTCCCAGTGTTGGCTGAACCCCCACCAACCAGCGGTGGGAGCCGGGGAGGGGGAAGTATTGCGGCCTCCGGCCTCGCGGGTGACAGGTAGAGGCTGATAATCAGAATTCAGTAACAAGTGTGATGCTGGCAACACCCAGGACTGAGGGGTGCATAAGTGCATCAGGTATGCAGGTCAGCTCCATACCTCTGGAAAAGACCTTTCCTTACACGGAGGCTTACAGGATGAAAAGGAATTCTCGAGCCAAAATGAGGTGGGGGAGAGAATTTGAGGCCCTGGAGTGGTGCCCTGGTATACTCACCTGGAAAGGTGCTAGGGAGGTCCAAAGGAAGGAATTGTTAGATCAAGAAAGATCTTGTAAAGCATGGGATGGAGAAGCAGGCAGGAATAAAAACAGAATTGGGAACAGCCTGATATCAGGCATGGGAGATGAGGCCAAGGCTTTGGGCTGGAGCATGTGGTGGAGAAACAGTGTGTGCCACAGTCCTGGTCAGCATTCCTAGGGCCCCTCTGGTCAATGTCCAGGCCAGATGCACTGTAGCCGAGCGGGCGCACGGACCTGGGAGCTGCTTGGTCAGGAATAGAAATACAGCAATCACACGAAGCTTGACTGGCCGCTGTGGAAGGTGCAGGGGTTTTTCTCAGGGGTGGAAAACAGATATAGAGGTAGGCTGGGTGCTGTGCAGTGAGAGGCAAATGTAGTCTTGGTTGGTTGACACTGACACTCTGGGTTTGGAGTCCTGTGCACTGTCCAAATAGAGCATTCTAGCAGCAACTGGAGTTGTCAAATGAGCGTCAATCCCTGGGGCACTGGTATGGTGTCCCAGGCAGACCAACTCTCATGAGAATGCAGGGGGTGACTAGCAAAAAGGGGAGCAGTGGTGCAGGCCTGAGAACCCCAGGAAAAGCAGGGGTCTAGAAATGGTGGGTGAGACTCAGGGAAATGGAATTGGAATACAAGACAGGGAGATTTTTCAAGAAAGAATGGATGTCCAGCACTAAGAAGGCTGAATCCAGCCTAAACTACCTAGCAAGATCCTGATTTTTTTTTTTTTTTGATGTATTTAGTATAGGGTCTATAGGGTCTCACTATACGGATCGGACTTGTAGTGATCCTCCTGTTTTTAGCCTCCCAAGCTCTGGGATTACAGGTGTACACCACCATGTCCAGTCTCAATCACCATCTCAGTGTGCCTTGGGGGCAGGGCTGGCACAGCACACTGGAATCGAATCCCAGTCCCTGCGTCTGCCTAAGCAGGGGCTTTAATCTGCTGAGCTATCTGTCTGGCCCCTGATTTTTAAAAAAGTAGAGTCACTCCAGACACCTGCAGGCTGTCACCAAAAAAGGTAGTAAGTGTTTTCTAGGGCAGATTCTAGGTCAATATAACCAAATATTTTCTAGAGTCAGAGTTAGGCATCTACAGTGTTAAGCAGAGAGCTCTGTATCCCCAGGTCCAAGAGAAGAAAAGCCCACCAATATTGTCATAGGAGGAAGCCCTGACCTGAGCAGGGCAGGCAAGGTTGAGCGCTTGCTTCTCTCCCTGTCCTGGGAACTCTTGATCCATCCAGGCAAGAAAAGGCAGATAATGTTATTATAGGAGCCACCTCACTTCCTGCCAGCTATACCGGACAGAAGAGGGCTCTTCTAAGAGGGTGACACCTGTACCAGACGGACTGATAAGAACTCAGCTGGGAAGGCTTAGAGGATAGCATGTCATTCAGGGGTGCGGCAAACACGAAAACTCAAAACTGAAAGCCAGGAAGGGGCAGGAGAGAGTTGGAGTCAGGGGAAGGGGAGCAGAGTGAGGGAGAAGGCACAGGCCTAGGCCATGGGGAAGGCAGGGCTCATTCTAAGAGTTCTGAGAAGCCACTAAAGGACTATAAATGTGTGAAGTTGACAAGCTAAGTTTCACATTTTAAGCCTTATAGCCAGGAATAGAATATCACACTAGGTATGGTGGCACATACTTGTGATCCTGGCATGAGGATCATTGGTAGTTTGAGGCTATAATAATGAGTTCAAAGCCAGCCTGGACTACATAGCAACATCCTGTCTCAAAAAAAAAGTAAAAAGAACGTGGGCTGGGCCGGGGAGATGGCTCAATGGAATAAGTGCTTCCCTGGCAAACGCAAGGGCCTGAGTTCAATCCCTGGTTCCACCAAAAGAAAAAAAAAAAAAAACAAACAAACATGGGCTGAGAGTCTAGCAGGGCCCTGTGGATACAGCAAGGCTAGTGTCAGTGAGAGCCCCTAGTCAGAGTTCAACCAAGCATCTGACACAATGCCAGCCTGATTCCCACCAACCTATCTCCTTTACCACACAGTGCCACAGTGCTCCCAAGGTACAGGGCTATCTAGAGATCCTAAGGTCCCTGAAAGCACAGCATACCCCTACACTGACTCCCAACCCCATGAAACCCACCCATCCCCCAAGGGGATGTTGTCACCCTGTTGGCCCTCTTGGCCCATCCAGTGTATTGTGGCCAGCTCCCAGACTTAACTGGGCCTGCACTTTACACAGTGCCATTGCTGCTGGAATGGTGACCCAATGCTGTGTCATTTGTGGGTGTAGGAAGGCATGTCACAGGCAGGTATACAGAGGGGCCACTCCTGGAGCAAGGGACCCTGAGAGAAACACAAGGCACTGTGAGGCAGGGGACGGCACAGGAACTTGTGTCTCACATCTTGGTCATTTGTGGGCCTGCAGGGGTTTTATGCAGGGGAATTTTAGTTTTAGGATGAAATAGACATGATATGTTCTCTAGCAATGCTATGTCTCTTCTTGTTTTAAAACCATTTTCATTGTTTTGGTTTTTTGAGAAAGGCTCTCACCATGTAGTCCAGGCAGGCCTTGAATTCACTCTGAAGCCCAAGTTGGCTTCAAATTCTCAGTGATCCTCCTGCCTCAGCCTCACAATGAAGGTATTACAGGCATGAGTGCCACATACCCAGATATCAGTAGCACATTTATTTTTTTTTAATTTATGTATTTTGTACAGGGTCTCACTATGCAGCTCACACTCATAGTGATCCTCCTGTCTCATCCTTCTTAGCCTTGGGATTATAGGTGTGCACCACCACGCCCAAGAACCACCTCTTGGTTCAGGGCCAGCACAGCATGGAGTACCAGGGATTGAACCTGGGTCCTTGTGCTTGCTAGGCATCTGCTTAGACTGCTGAGCTATCTCCTTGGCCCAGCACATTTCTTATATACAAAGTTACTCTGGGGCCAGGGAGATAGCTCAGTAGGATAAGCGCTTGCCTGGTAAGCACAAGGGCCTGAGTTCAATCCCTGGTTCCGCAAAAAAATCACTCTAATAATTTGACTGATTCTAAATATCTCCACCGTCCAATAGGGAGGGCCCTTCATGATGTCCATGTCACAGGTGAAGAACTGAAATGGAGAGGAAAATGACTTGAGCCAGCACACGTGTCCAGGGAGCTGCAGGCCTGGACTCATGACAGAGCCCTCCAGCCCCAAAGCCTCTGCACTCTGGGCACAAGGCTGCCTCAGTGATCAGACCAGATTCTTCTGATTGCTGATAAGAGTACTAGGGGATGGACTGGGGAGGTGGCTCAGTGGTAGAGCTCTTTATGTGTTTGGTATAAGGTCTTGCTATGCAGCTCAGACTCATAGTGATTCTCCTGTCTCAGCCTCCTTAGCACTGGGATTATAGGTGTGCACCACCATGCCCAGTTTCAATGGCCAGCTCAGTTTGGGGCTGGCACAAGACTCTGGGTTCTATCCCAGCACAGAGAAAAAAAAAATTACTAGGGCCTGAGTCAGACATGGTGGCATTCATCTATAATCCCAGCACTTGGGTGCCTGAGGCAGGAGAATGGCTACAAGTTCAAGGCCAGCCTGGAATGCACAGCGAGACTCAGTTTTTCAGGTCACGTCAGATGGCCATGATGGAACTTGACTGGGAATGAGGCCCTGATGCCCAGCCTGGTGCTAAGCTGCTTCCCTTCCTGGCTCCTTTTGGTCCTCTTCCAGGAAGGAGCTCACCTTATCTGTCTTCTCCCAAGGGTCCTGCCAGCCTGAGACTCTAGAGGACGATGGCAGCACTGATGTGGTCCCTGCTTTCGATCCTGAGCCAGTCATCGCCCACTGCTTCAAGCAGTTCAAGCAGGACTTCCAACTGCCGAAGAGCCGCCGGCGGGTCATCATTGTGCCTGCCCAGCAAGGACAGGTGCCTGTGAATCCCACATCCCAGCCCCTGCTATCCCCACCACCTGTCCCCAGCCTCAGAGGCCTGGATGCTGAAGGACAGAGTGGGAACATCCCCAGGCCACTGGAGGACAGGGTGGCCTGGCTTCACCAGAGGACAAGGCTGCGGAAGGAGCTGGACGCCATGGGTGATGTGACACAATGGCTGAAGAGCAAACCCAGCCTCTCGCTCTTGGAAACCAAGGTCTTGCGCATGCTCCACGAGAAGCGCAAGGCCCAAGTCATGGGCCAGATGACTGCCACCACAGCCACCAAGGTGAGTGGCCCACTGGGAAGGTGTCATAGTGCAAATTTAAAGACACTTCATCTTTTGTTCTTTTGGTTTGGTTGGAATGGGGATGCCTACTCCCCTTTCACAGAGGAGCAAATGGAAGTCTAGGCAGGGAAGTATATTCATCAACTGCTGCCAGGAGGGACATTCCTGGAAGTCTGTGTTATGAGGCACTGGAGCTCGTATCTCTGGGCATTGTGAGAATCACAGCTTGGGGGCTAAGTGCAAAAGGAAGACCTGCCTGTGACATGCGAGGACACATGAGTTCAGAGAGGCCAAGGGTTTATCCCAACCTACAGAGTCGGTGACACAGAGATGGCTCTCCAATACATCTTGTTATGCAGATTCCTGAAACCTCTCCTTATGGGAAAGCTGGCATCAGGGAGAGGTGACTTGAGTTAAACACAGGTCTGGCTGGATGTGGTGGTGCACATCTGTGATCCCAGCAGTCAGGAGGCTGAGGCAGGAGGATCGCTGCAAGTTTGAGGCCAGCCTGGATTATACAGTGAATTCAAGGCCATCCTGAACTACAAAAAAAGACCCTGTCACAAAATAATAAAAGTAGAGGCCAGGAGGCTGGACTTCCCCAGCTTCAGGATGGGGTGTACCTTTGGCACATAGAACACCAGGCCTGTAGACCCTGACTGGTCCTCAGGAGAGATGTGCCAAGTGTGATGTTGGCTTGAGTTTTCTAGACAGCCATTTCCTTGAACAACCCCAGAACCACTCAGCTCCAAGGGGCAGTGCTGGGTGCTCTGCAGCCATGACAAGTACCTGCGCCAGTGCCTTCCATCTCCTTCACCCTGGGCTCTGCGCTGCCAGTTTCTCCCCACATCTCCTGGGGCTGTTGCCTACTAGCTCCTCCTTGCCTCTTTCAGAAAAAAGCTCCCCAGCGAGTGGTGCCCCAGCTGCGGCTGCCCAAGCCCCTGGCCCTGTCGGCCCTGTACACCTACCTGCGTCGCCGCAAGATCCAGGTTCTGGAGCTGTTTTCCAAGGACCAAGTCATGCAGCAGAAAGTCTCCCGGGAGGAGTTCCTCTCTGCATTGCGGAAGGTGAGCACCCTGCTGTCCTGGCTGCCCCACACTCAGCTGTTCCTCCATCTCCTCTTGGCTTCTGGGGCAGCAAAGGGTAGACATGGTGCTTAGATTGCCAACCTGACATGCACTGGAAAATGTGGGGGCCTACAGACAAATTAGACCCCAGAATCACCCCTGTTCAGGGCAGGGCACAGACCATCCTTGGCATAGCAGGACACATAGAGGTTTTCAGAGTGAATCCCAGAATGACTCAGCTGCATGGAGAGACTCCCTGGCCTCTCAGACCCAGTACTGAGCTCACCGGAGTCAGCCATCACCCCGCCATCACTGGTTGGCACTGGCCACACCACCAGTACCTTGCCTGCACTGGATGAGGTAAATCCATGAAAAATGAGGTTGGATACCCAACTCCTCCATCACACCTGCCACATCCTGAGGGCTCAGTGGTCACGCACATCCCCAGGACCGCAGGAAAGAGAGGAGAGGGAGAGAAAAGAAGGGGAGGAGAGGGGAGGGAAGGGGCAGGGAGGGGAGGGGGATCACATGTAGCAGGTGGTGCCTCCCTTTGCCCAGGCAAGTATAGGACATTTCCCCTGGGCTCAGCCTGGCATAGTCTGCCTCCTGTTCTTTCTTTTCTTTTTTTAAAAAATGTATTTAGGACAGGATCTACAGGGTCTCACTACATAGAATGGACTCATAGTGATTCTCCTGTTTTCAGCTTCCCAAGTGCTGGGATTACAGAGGCTACAGGTGGCCCAGTCTCAATCGCTGACTCAGCACACCCTGGGGGTGGGCCGGCTCAGCAGGCAGAGGGCAGGCAGAGGATAGGAACCGGCAGGCGCTCTGCCTAGGCAGGCGCTTTAGAACCCTGAGCTATCGGGCCGGCCCTCTCCTGTTCTTTTTTAAATAAAGCTTTATTGGAACACAGGCCCTCATTCATCTTCATACTATCTGCAGCTACTTTTGTGCTGCAAGGAAAGACTGCATTGCTCATAAGTGGAAATATTTCTATGACCACATACCAACTCCCTCTTGGAGGGGATTATATGACTATAATCACTGCAATACAAATGGGCAAGGATAAAAAATAAACATTAAAGAACCCTGAAATATTCACTGCCTGGACTTTCATAGAAAAGGCTTGTCAATCCCTAAATGAGATGAATTTACCTTTCATATACTTTAAATACAAAATTCCTTTAAAACCCTTTTTCATGGCCAGGAATATAGCTCAGCAGCACAGTGCCTGCTAGGTAAGTGTGAAGTCCTATGTTTGATGCCTGGTACAAACAAGCAAAACAAAACAAAACAAAACATTTTCAGAAGCTGGTTCCTAGAGTTTTGCACCTTTAAATCATCAATTTTCTGGCTGGGGTTTTAGCTTAGTGGGAGAGGATTTGCATAATACGCTTGAGGCTCTCCCCTCTCCTCCCCTTCTTTTCTCTCCCTCTCCTCTCTTTCCTGCGGTGCTGGGGCTGTGCATGACCCCTGAGCCTCCAGGACGTGGCAGGTGTGATGGAGGAGTTGGTATCCAGCCCCACCACCACAAGTACCTAAGTAAATTTCTGGGCACATACTTCTAAACGAATTAGCAGTTTTCACGATTTTTAAGATGTGTAAATACCTGAGCAACATTCTGCAGCATTTCGAACAACAAAAAGACAGTGCTTGAGTCAGCACAGCTAAAAAGATATTCTTAAATGCTGACCTCACTTAGGGAAAGCCCAAGGAGTGATGATTGTCCTCTAAAGAAACAAAAGAATGAAGTTCTACCTCCTGCAAGTTTCTCTTCCTGCAGTGTCAGTGTTGCTGACAAACATTGCATGTCCCAAAGTTGCTTAGAAAAATAAAGGATGGGGCTCGAAAGATAGTTCAGTGGCTTAAGCACCTGCCTGGCAAGTGTAAGGTCCTGAGTTCGATCCATAGTTTAAAAAGTATATTAATTAAATTAAAATTTAAAAAATAAACATCAGACTTTATCTGGAAATAAACATTTTACTGCAGGTAGAGGAGGCTCAGATGTCCCTCATGGGCAAAGATGTGAAATCACTCTTCTTTGTCAGCACTGAGATTGGTAGGGAGTGGGATGGGAGCCAATGACTGACTGTATAGATGGTGGCAAATCTGTACTGGGCTTTAAAGGATGGGTAGGAGTTTGCAGGTAGAAGGGAACTGCCAGTGCAAAGGCAGAGGGTAAGGGGGTTGCTAGAGATGAGGCCAGGGTGGCCAGCCTGGGGCAGATGAAAATCTCTGCCTGGTGACTTCTGTCCTCTCTAGGTCGGGGTCCCCCTGAAGCATCAGGAGATAGAGGACGTGGTGATCTACCTGAGCTCCCTTGGGAAGCAGCACAACATCACCATGAAGACCCTGGCCAGCACCTACAAGCAGTGGTTTCTGGCCCAACAGAGGAGCACACTGTCCACTGTGTACAAGGGTTTGTCCTCTTGCCACCCTCGCCTGCATAAACCCAGCATGTGGTCTAAGGCCTCCTTCCTATTAATTTACACTTTATGGATAAAGAGCTAGCGAACATTTACTATTCAGAGACAGAATCGGCACATGTTTATAGCCTACTGGTTTAGTGTTCTCTTGTCAGGGCTATAAGAACAGGGCTACTGTGGATAATTGTACAGATTGTCCCCAATTAGAGTCCCACTTGCAAGTGTGTGCTTATGGGGCTCCACCTGCCCAGACTGAGCACAGTGGCAGGTTAGAAATGGGCTCAAAAATGCTCTGAGTGCCACCACAGGGTGCATTGTGTTTCTTGCTATTCTACTACCATTGTGATAAAACATACCTGCAATTGTCATCCGTTCTAGCTGTGCCCCAACATAAGCATGTCTTTGCTTTTCTAAATCAAATGTATGTTGTTCTGCCTACATTTGCCAGGCTAGCAGGAATTTAATCTGAGACATGTTGCGGGTCCCTTTCCCTCCCTAAGGGACTCCTTGTGCTGGAGAACTCACAGATGAAAGGCAGCCAGGACTCTGGAGCTCATGGTCCCCAGTAGGAGCTCTGTGCTGGCCCTGGAGTGGCCTCTGAGAAGAGGAAGGCAGCACCTGCCCCATTCCCAGGAGGTTTTCATGTCCAGGCTCATTTTGGTTTTTCCTATAAATCTCAAGGCCTATCATCCCAGACCTTGGGAGGCTGAGGCAAGAGGATTGCTATGAGTTTGGGGCCAGTTTGGGGTACATAGTGAGACCCTATCTCAAAAAAAAAAAAAAAATCCAAAGTCAGGTGCTGTCTTGGAGTCTTTTGCATGACTGTGTGTGTTCTGATGCTTTTTTTGTTTCTTTGTTTTTTGGTATGGGGTCTTCCTAAGTCACTAAGTTGCCTATATTTGGCTTAAACTTGTGATCCTCCTGCCTCAGCCTTCCAAATCCTGGGATCACAGGGATGCACCAGCATACCTGGCTTGTTGGGAGATAGTTGAGCAGCTACTATGTGCCATGTACACTTCTAGGAAATGAGAACACAGCAGGGAACAGGTCTGAGGCCCTGGCTGCAGGGACCAAATCAGGGGTGTCCCATGGGCAGGGAGTCCTTGAAAACTACTGGAAAGAATAGTAGGTTATTGCCTGGGCTCCCAGTTGGATGGAACACCACATGGAGGCCCAAGGCAGGGACGCTTCAAGAGACAGGGGAGGCTGGGTTGGCCAGGTCAATGGGGAGGTTTGGGGGGGGTACACTGAAGGGTGTGGGATGGAGCACTGGCCAGCTCCCCTGAGTCCCTGGCTTGCATCTCTTTCCTCTGACTCCAGGTTACATCCCAGCCCAGAGCTCGACATCCCCACAGCCTTGCAAGAAGGACCTGCTCACAGTGCCTGAGGTCCCTATACCCTCGGAGGCACGACCCCTGACACTGGAAGAGATGGAGGATGTGGGCAAGCACTACCGCGAGCGCAGGCGGCAGCTCAAGGTGCCCACCAGGACACAGGAGGGGCTACATTCCTGTGAATGGACACCTGGCCCCACCAGGGCTTGGGATGTAGAAGATAATCAGGCTTAGAAAGCGCTGAATCTGTACATTCCCCCCCACCCCCCAACCTGTTCTTTTTTTTATTATGTTTTTTCAGCCTGCTTTTTAATCAAAACTTCTATTTTTGGTTTTGTTGAGACAGGGGCTCTTTAGAGAGCTCAGGTTGACCTTGGACTTATTGTGTAGCCCAGGCTGACCTCAAACTCTTAGTGATCCTCTGGCTTCAGCCTCCTCAGTGCTGAGATGATAGGCATGAGCTAACACACCCAGGTATTCTTTAATGAGGACTTTTTGTCTTGAGACCAGTGTCGCACCTTTGTCACAGCTGGACCCCGGTACCTGGCTCCACAGTACACAGACTGCAGAAGGGCTGGGCTGGCTGGCTGGCACACACAAGGCCTGGCCTCATCCCACATTGCACCACCCAGAACAAAACTGAACTGAAGGTCAGGCTCTGAGGGCCACCTGGTCTCTGTCGCAGGTGCTGGGCTCTCTTATGGACCCCACGTACACACAGTGGTGATGCTGCAATCCTATATGAACTGACTTAGCATGTGCTAGTCTGGGCGTAGCCCATGGTAGAGCCTGGGGTCCCTTCCTAGTACCACACAAAGGGAAAGCAGGGAACGGAGGACCCTCAGAAGGAACCCCCTGTGATCCTAGACTGTGTCCCCCCTCCCCAGCTCCCCATTCCCTCCATCCAGTACACGGAGAGTTGCCGCTTGGTGAGCAGCGGGGACCAGCGCGTGGACCATCACTGCCTGCCATCCACGGTGGCTGGTGAGCACCAAGAGCTGCTGGACACAGTGCGCAGGGATGACTTCCTGCTCTACTTGCGCTGTAGGAGGCAGTGCATGGCCTCAGGGGTGCCAGTGACAGAGGACGTCCTCAGCCGGGGTAAGGAGTAGGAGGAGGCAGGGAGGCAGTCTGCTGGTCAGGCCCCTGAGCTCACTCCAGAGCAGGCAACGACGACAGGCCCAGCTCTGTCTTTAAGAGACAGATCCAGTAGGAATAACTGCCACTAAAATCACTGCTGCATCTGGTGTGGAGGTGCATGCCTACCATGCCATCACTCGGGAGGCTGAAGCAGGAGGAATTCTAGGCCAGCTTGGGTTACATAGAGACCCTGTCTCAAAATAGAAAAGAAAAAAGGAAAGGAGTTCGATCTCCCATCCTGCATGCCAGCCCCACCCCTCGGGGCGCACTGAGGCGGCGATTGAGACTGGGCATGGTGGTGCTCACCTGTAATCCCAGCTCTTGGGAGACTGTAAACAGGCGGATCACTATGAGTCTGATCTAGTAGTGAGAACCTGGAGACTCTTCCCCAAAAGTAAAAAAAGAAAAAACATACTGTACTCCACAAATCCATACAAATACTGTGTCAATTGAAAGAAAAACTCAGGGAAAACTAAAGAGACATTTCATAGCTATAAGAAAAGAAGAAAAAAATGTTTAACAAAATTGTGAATTTATTAATAAATGTCCAAGTCCAGGAGCAGGGTCTTGGGCTCACTGAGCACATTCTCTTGATGCCTGCAGCGCTGCTGTACCCTGGGGACAGGATCATCCTGCAAGACACCCAAGTGCTCCCCATCCGGCAGCCCGGCGGCTTCTACTGTGATTTGAAGGCCCTGCCAACACACACGATGCAAGGCCCGAGGCTGGGGCCACAGAAGAGTGACAAGCTGAGTGTCCCCATGCCACTGCCCACCCACCAGCATCTCTTCTGCTCTGGCTGGGATGCTGGCCATGATGACCTGTGTCAGCTTGCTGCTCTCACTGGTCACCTTGGATGGTGGCCCCAGAGCCTCCCACTGTGGCGGCACGTCTTGCTCACCTCAGCAACACACAGCTGCCTTGCTGAACCTAGTCCAGGCCCACAGTCACAGCTCTGGGTGTTTGTGGGAACAGTCCTTCTGGCCCTGCCACCCTGTGCTGGCCAACTCACCTTCCTCAAAGTGGGGAGTGCTACTAGGCCTGTCCCAGAGGCACAGAGGGACTAGATGGGGCCGTGCCACATAGACAGGTGTTAGGTGAATAGATGGGTTTCTTTGCTCCTCAGGCCTCAGCAATACCTCAGAGAAATGGCATCAGTGGATGCCTGTCACAGAAGAGCCTTGTAGGACAAGGGACAAGTCAGCAAGAGGACCAGGCAGAGTTAGAAACTAAGAGGGAGGAGCTGGTGTTGCCCCAGTACTCAGCAGGCTGAGGCAAGAGGATCGCCATGAGTTGAAGGCCAATGTGGGTTACCTAATAAGTTCAAGGCTTTCCTGAGCTACAAAGTGAGTCTGTCTCACAAAACAGAAACAAAGAACAAAAAGAAAAGAACTAAAGGTATTGTGGGAGGCATATATAAAATATAGCCAGAGACGCCAAGCTCCTTCCTTCCAGGTCCCTGTGACACTGGGCACAGCAAGGGCTGGATGAGGGACCTGTTCTGTGCTATGTCTCCATACTGTCCTCGGCTAGCAGAAAGCACCAGTCTAGAAGAACTGGAAGGGTGCCCAGCGCTGGTGGCTTGAGGGCCTCTGTCCCTGTGTGGCCACCTCACTGCCATGGTGCCTGGCTTAGGTTCCCTGAGCCAGGAGATGGGCAGATCCAGGACAGGCCTGAGTCCCACTGAGGAGGATAGAGAGCAAGGCAGAGAGGCCTGGCCCAGGATGGACACTATGCTCTGGCTGCTTAGCCAAAGCCGGGGCTTAGGACACAGCTGAACAGCATCTGCCTAGTGCCTAGAGGCCCAGGTTCCACCCCAGAGCCACAGATGAAAGCAAAGAATCTTTGAGGCCAGGCATAGGCTTGGGCTCAGGGTGGGCAGAGCCTCAGACTCCATGGCTGCCACTCACTGCTGCACTCTCTTCAGCCCCCCACCTGGGAGAAGAAATTCTGCTTCCAAGGTTTGGCACCTCAGCCCACTCCTAACAGCACCCCTCTTGCCTCCCATCAGGAAGGCACCACAAGGTAGAAGGAGGATACCCTCTAAAGAAGCCCAGGAGGTCACCAGGTTGGCAGCAGTGTTGGGATGGGGGGGCATAGGGGTGGGGTGGGCCTCAGAGCCCAATACAGGAGGAAGGGGAGGAGTAAGCCTCATTGCAGGGATGAATCTGGCGTATCCCATGACACCCTCTGGCCTCTCTATGGGGTAGCTACAACTACAGAGTGAGAGTGGCCTGGCATAGTGACACCCTGGGGGTACACTCCAAAGCTGGGGGTTCAAAGACAGCTACCGGGTCAGGCTGGCACCCCCAAGGCCCTGGGAGGTGGTCCTGAGGCTCTGCAGTGCATCCTGTACTCTCTGCCCATGGGTCATAGGTGCCCCATTGTTTCCTGAGAGTCAGACCTGACCTGTCCAGGTGACAACTTCTCCTTTCTTTTCCAGGAAGCTGAAGGCAAGAAGACCCGGGGATAACCAGCAAACTTACCTCTCCTACCACCCTGACGCTGGTGGCCCCTTAGAGACAAGAACTATATGACCCAAGCCTACTATGATTCCCCCAAGGTATATGCCATCAAATAGAGTGGCCAGTGTCACTGTAATATGGCAGGGGTCCAGCCAGCCCAAAGTTGCTGCATCAGGGTGGTTGAACCCCAGGTCCTGTCCTGGAGGAGTGTCATTGCTACTCCTGTGGCCTTGGCCTTTGCAAATAAACCAGCAAAAGCTTTTCTCACACAACCTGGGTCCTACCTGTGTGACTTGTGTTTGCGCCTGGGGCACGTGGTGGGCATTTTCCCTCTGACCCAAGGCAGAGTCACCCTGGGCACTCAGGAGCCACAGGCTCCTGTGCCTGTGTCTCATGAGATGAGTTGGCAACCTGTCTCTCACTCTGAGGCTGAGCTTCTGGGTTCCTGCTCCTAACTCTTGGGGTTTTGGAGGCCGGGGACCTCCTCAGATTCATGAGCCCTCTGGCCATCCAGCCCTTTTTCTCATGGGTGCAGCATGGGAGTTGCCACTAGCAGCGTCTGTGGCCCCGCATACCCATGAGGCACACACAGTCCCAGGACAAGCACCACTCTCTGGGTGTGGATTAGACATTGGCACAACTAGGTCTGAGCAGAGCATAGTGGCACATGCCTGAGATCCCAGCACTTAGAAGGCTGAGACAGGATTATTGTGAGTTTGAGGCCATCCTACGCTACATAGACAGACCCTGTGTCAAAAAAACCGT